ACACACACATACACACACACACACACACACACACACACACACACACACACACACACACACACACACACACACACACACACACACACACACACACACACACACACACACACTACTACTACTAACACACACACACACACACACACACACACACACACACACACACACACACACACACACACACACACACACACACACACAAACAAACTCCAAGACCGAGGCAGAAACAGCTTGTCGTACATTGTGTAACAGTGTTCCCTTTCCAGTGCTTGTGTAGATGAAAAACAACACTGTTCTTGTACCCCGAGCACTAATTATAACATAGAAATGTATTTATATTTTTCTCACTGTGCCATACTTTCTAGCTGGTGTAAAGGATTCATTATCCGGATGCTTATGGAGTGCTTTTTGGAAGTGGGTTAGTTGTCAGACTGCTCAGCGTTTGGCTGCTCTTGACACTCTGGTTGAACCCTTCCTATTAACGCTGGATTACTGTAGAGAGGCTGTGTTTCCTTGACAAGGGAATAGAGCACAACATTTGAGCGGGGATGATTTCATCTCGCCGTTTTTAATTGCTCTAGCATCTATTCATGCCCTCTTAAGATGCGCCAAGCAGCTTTGAAGATTCCCAGGGAAAAAAGTCAAGTTTCAGCAAAAATGTCTGAAACCAAATCCTGGAGGTTTACAGCTGCAGCATCAAAGTGCTACGCTCTCAGGATAAACTGATCCCTTTCCAGCTTTAATACGCTTCTACCAACATCTGACAAATCTCACAATTTCAAGGGCTTTTGTGTTTTCTTTTCATTCACACAGTCAGCATGGGCAACACAGAGAATTCAAATCTGTTACTAAATGAGCCTTTTGCAGTACAATAATGATAGTGATCAGTGAGCAGCTGAAAGAGTCAACATTAGCTTCTCTGCTGGTGGCAGCTTATTGAAAAAAAAACATATGCTGATATTCCAGACTCTACTAAATATCATGGTGTGAGCATTATTCTTCAAGTGAGATGTATTGCTAAAGAAATCGAGCAGCTGAAATTAAATAATGTATGTGTGTGCGGTTTGCTCTGAGAGAGAACACTGCAGAATAGGATCTTCTTCATGACTGTAAAGATCTCAAGGTCCGAACACGGACCTTCATCAGAGACAACTGTGGCGGCCTCATTTAAAAAGCCAAAGAAAGACCTAAGTCTGCGGATATACATTGCCAGGATGTATTCCTTAAAGGTCACCTATTATGCAAAATCCTGTTTTTCATGTATTTTCTACATAAACATGTGTCCCCACTGTGTAAAGAGACTCTGAAAGTTTCACTTGATCACCTGAATCTCCTCCTAGAGCACCATTGAGTTCTTTGTAACCAAATCTCTTTCAGAGGGCCGTGGGGAGTGGCTCCTTATTTTCATCTAAAGTAACAGAAACAGAATCAGCACTTTGGAAACAGGGCTGAAACAGAGGGGATTATGGGTAATTAAATTACATTACATTGCATTTTGCTGACGCTTTTATCCAAAGCGACTTACAATAAGTGCATTCGACCAGGAAGATACAACCTTGAA